GTTTGCAATGATTAAATTTTATAGTGGTTATAACATAATAATACACACTAAAGTACCAAATCTATTCATACCTAAATTTTATTTATACTTAAATTCATTATTTATATTGACGTAAATTAAGTGATTTACTATAGATAGGTATAAAAATTGATTAGACATAAATTAAATAGTCTATCAATTATAAATTTATAAGTAATATTTTCATAAGATATGTTTTGAAATTACCTATTAATATATTAGTAGGTCTATAAAATGTCTTGAACTTCCTGTTACGTAGCTGATTATTATATTATACACCATAGAATAAATAATAAATTTATTGAATGTAAAATTTAAAATATATTTTATACTTTGTAAACTATATATCATAACATATTGTAATTTGTAATAATTAAATGTTTTATAATGATTTGTTTACTATAATTTGGTATTTGTATTGTTTGAAATGTATTACATTTTATTTTTATTTATAAAATAATGGTTTTAAAATGGTATTACAACTGAAGCGGGAATCAAAACTGAGGTATAGATTGCGAAACTGCTTGACTTTTATAATTTAATTTTTATACTATTTCTTATACTTGGCGTCACTTTTAATAAAGTAAAACAAAAAATTATACTTGAAAGTTGGTGTAAATTGATGTAACATATACTGGCATATTCTAATAAAAAAAACTTTAAACAATTATTTACTATTTTTATTAACAAAACTTCGATAATTCTTCAAAAATGTCAATTTATATTGACACAATGCTTTAGTTGTTAAACGTGAAAAAAATGAAAAGTATGAATATTGAGAATTGTGTTTTTTGAGATAAGAAAGGCTTTCGATAAAGAGATTGTGGAAATAAACTATTGGCAAAGTTTTTTATTTCACCCTTCGGTAATATTCGCAAGAGGTAATAAACTCGAAATTAAGATAAATTGCTTTATAAGTTATGTATCTTAAATTTATAAAGTACACAGGCCATACACGTGGTTTGTTTTAGTATTCAGCATAAAGTATATCTAACCTGTCAATTGGCTATTGCTCAGAATAAAAGTTTAAATTAGGAGTGCAATATGTAACTAATAATTATATAACAATTTTGTCTATACTCGTATAATAATAAAAAAAAAAAATTGTTATCAGAATTATCAACAGAATCTGGATTGCGTTACACATAACTTATACAGTTAAATAATCAGATTTATTTTAAATAAACGTACAATGTCTGTTGAACGTGTTTATCGGAAAAGGACTTAGGACACTACTCTATATTTTACTGTTAGTTAGTCAATACAAAAGTTAAAAGGACGATTTGATTTATTGGTATAAAAAATATCCAGTTGTACACCGGATTAATTATTTATTATTTTTTGTACACTATAAATATATGAATATATTATTCTGTATTTATTATTTAAAAGAGATGGCATTATTACATTATTATATGTCTAATCGTTAAGGTGTTTTTGTTTACTTAAAAAAAAAAAAATTAATCAATTTAATTTATACTTTTAATAATTAAATTATTAAAATCTCTGCAGATTTTTTAATAATATTCATATTACAATTAACGAGATGGCCAAAAACAAACAATTTTATTTTCTAAAAATTTGATATCAGATATTATTTGTTTAAAATCACATTTAAAGGGAATTTATGGAATTACGAAAGTGAATTTCGTAATATTTTTTTGCAGAATAAACAAAAACAATACCGTAAATATAAATCCGTCGTCCATTCAATAAAATATCGTTGTCCAATTATTTGTTTTCGTCTTAACATATATGAATTTTAAACAATTATTTCGGAATATAAAATACTTTGAGATATTATTATCAAAATTGATTTTTTTTTTTTTGATAAATAAACATGATGTATATTTATGCCAGTTTGTAGTTGCTTAACAACAGTTTCATTTTTATTTGCATAATATCTAAATTTAAGTAATAACTTTTATTTTTTACATTACATTCTTTTAGGTATTTTATTTTTCAGTTAAATAAGAAAACAACTCAAGAAATTTTCTGGTTTAAATCAACCGGGTTAGACAACAGTTTGTATATGTTTTAAATCATAAATAATCAATTAAATAATAGTTAAAAAAAACATAAAAAAAAAAAATACTCAAGATTAATAAATATAATACATTTTTAATGTAAATACAATAAAAGCATAAATTTATAGAAGTTTCAAAACAATTTAAAACTTTTTTAGTTATTAAAAAAGTATATTTTCTAATCAAATCCAACTCGCGTTGGGTTTCGAGAATGTATTATAATTTATGAAACAAGAATTTGTAGTCGTCTTGCAAATATGTTGAAACATCATGAGACTTATTTATAAATAATAATATAGAAATCCTGAAATGAATACTATACATAACTTCTCAGTTGAGCAATTTGAGATAATATTTTATATTGCAATTAAATTAAATATATTTAACAAATAAGCTTAAATTTTACATGGATTGAGTTTTAACATAAGTTTTTAAATTCTTTAAATCATTTTATTTGTCATAAATGATTTTAGCAATTAAAATATTTTGTTTAGAAGCATATATATATATATATATATAATAATAAAAAATTTTTGTTATAAAAAACTTTAAATTATTAAAAATATAACTTTTTTTTAAAAATTTTGTGTTGTAGTACCTACTTATTGCAAATAATTTATAAATATTTGTCTAAATATATATATATATTTATCAAGAAAATGAGTATTTAATGATAAAATAATATTAACCTACAGTAAATAAATTATATAATACTTGTACCTATACATGACATAATTACATTTAAATATAATTGATAACCAAAAATATTATTGATATTATGAACTATTCAAAAAGGAGCTAAAAATTGCAAATACTTGAACAAAACCACCATTAGTCTAAAATTTTATTTTATTTAAAATTATAATCAACGAAACCAAAATTCGTGCTAAAATTGATTTAGAAGATTAAAAAAAAAAAAAATTAGGTGAGTATCGTTTTACTGTATATTAGGTGTTGAGTGGATCATCATTATAAGTCTCTTAAATTTGAATTCAAATGATGTATCATAATACAAGAAAAATGATTCTAAACGGAAACGGTCTATTAGCTCTTATCACCAAATAATAATTTTTATTTTTTTAATATTGCTATTAAAGTAATTTATTTTACTTTTAATATTATATTATATTAGTCGGTATAATTATACTTATGTATTTCAATAATTTTATGAAGAAATAAGAATACATTTTTTGGTATCTTGTTTTAAATTTTTAATTATTTTTATGCACATCAAATAATTTTTAATCAACATTTATAAAAAAAAAAATAAACTAAAAAAATTGAAAATTTTCAATGCCTATAAATAACTTAATAAAAATTGAAATTTTTTTTAAAATTTTCTCATAAAATTAAAATAATAAAACGAATATATTAAAAATTTTGTGAAAATTTCAAATACCTGTTGTTATTTTTTTTTTCGAATACAATAAAATATCAAAAATTGTTCGAGGGAAAATAATTTTTTTACGGATGGTTATCGAATTGTGTATATTTGAACTTGAAATGCTCGTGAAGAATTAATTTAGTTTTGCGATAGATATTTTTTTCACTCATAGGTCGAATAACAGAACTAGTAAAAAGCCTTGTATTTAATTTGAGGTAAAAAAAACAAAATTTTTTATGAATTTCTAATTTCGAAATACATAATTTATTAATTTTTGCAGTTTTTATGAAATTTGTCAAAATTCTAAATTTAAATGCCGATAAAATAATACGGTGACTATAGATTTTCGATTTTTTTTTTAAATTGAGAAATTAACAACTTATAAAGAATCAGGTACATTTTTAAAAATTTTTACATAGCAAATAATTTTTAATTGTCATTTGTAAATAAAAAAACTAAATAGATTGAATATTTCTTATTTTTTTAAATAGCTCAAAAATAGTAGAAATATTTTGAAAATTTTATTATAAATACATAAAAGTAATATGAACATTATCTGAAAAATTCAATTATTTTAGTTTTTTATATATTCAAGCTATATCGAACACACAGAAAATACACATCGTGATAAAATCAATGCATTCATCGCTCCACTCAAAATCTTAAATTATTGTTAGTTTTTCAGGAAAATTCAATATTTTTTCGAATATTTCACTATAATTTATTAATTTTGAATTTTTATAAGTTCGGTTCAGTTTTGTCATAATATTTGAGTAGTTGAGTTCGGGTGTCGATTACAAAAAAAAAAGAATAATAAATTACAAGTTCTATTTAGTTCGAAGTCATTAAATTTAAAACCTCGTTTCAACTTCATAAACTAATTATAAAAACTGGGAAGTCTGTTTTTAGTATAGTTAGAAGTAAATCATTGTCATCGAATTTAAATTCAATGATAATGATTCGTGGCACACGGAATACGATATTAAGTGAGGAATGTTTCCTCACTTAATATCTTAGTTTTTAATTTTTATTTCTAAAGATATTTTATGTGTGTTTTTTTTTTTTCTGTGTGTGTCACTATAAGTAATACGGCAGATTAAACTAGTTTTTTTCCAAAAACATCGCATCAAGCTTAATAACGTTATAATTTGGCAACGAAAATTTTAATATTAATAATTTGACAAAATACTATTAAGTACTCATAACCTGAATATTATCTCCGTCCGTACACCCGCCGACAGATGCGATGAAATACGGCTTTATTACAGAAGGTCACGGTTTTTCTTATGCATTAATATTACGTGGTTGTATGTTTGACGACATTTATTCGACGTGCTAGGTACTTCCACTCAAAGCTATTCCAGTTGCGGGCCTGAGTTGCCGTCAGACCTGAGTGTTTCAGACAATTTAACTGATTTTTGCACTGCAAGCCCTCCCACTCTCACCATCATACATATAGGTACTTACGCATTTAATCAGACAACGTCTATACACCTCACGTTGAATTATTATTTATTATATTATTATTATTATTATTATTATTATTATTATTATTATGTGTAATATCTTACCGCGAATGATCTTCACGTACACGTTATACGATTAAATATTATATGATATTATGATATCTAGAATGCGCAGGATAGTATAATATGTTACGATGAAGTATATAACGATCGGGAAACGACGACGACGACGACGACGACAAATATTACTGTACGTATTATGACGTGTCTGAAAAGCAATAATAATAGTGTGATATTGTTATGGTCCACGGTCCGCGCAGGCAGCAACAGGCTGGTACGACGTGGATCGGTCGGAAACGACGCGGACGGTCTGGACGAAAGACTCACTCCAGTGAAGGCTCCGGTCTCGAATGCGCGGGGCGAGGGTCTTGGGAAAAACTCAAAACACGTCCAAATGTCCGTTTCGCGGTGCGTGTCGGGCGCGCAAAAGCCGGAAACGGTCGCGTTTTTATGGTGTGTGGCTGCAACGGGTACGATGTACGACTACGACTCGGTTGTCTCGCGGTCGACGCGTGCGGAACGGCTACGGAGGCGGTCGGCTGGTCGGCGCACGCCTTTTATAGTCGCGGCGCGCGGCATGTGTCGTCAAGTTTTTGTTCGTTATCCGTTTTCCTTTGCGTTTTTGGCGGCACGCACGTCAACCGCGCCGAGGTGGGGGGGGAGGGTCCTGTCCGGCGTCGTAGCGATACGCCGAAAAATTTTCGTATACTCATTGCAATAATTGGTAAATATCACACATCAACCCCTCCCCGTCCCCACCCCATCCCTAACCGGATTCGTAGCGCGGCGGAATCGTAACAATATATTATTATTATTATTATTATTATCGTTATAATTACGCACACATAATAATATATTAATATGTTATTATCAAGTATATAACATAATACATATTATTTATATGAGACTGCATCAGGCCGGCCCCGCCGTGTTATATGTGTTTTGAGCGCACATAATATTTTCGGTTTCCCATTACCGAAAACGGATACGGTTTTATTCGTAGCTGGAACACTTTTAATTGGGACGTATATTATTATGATGTACGCCGCGTCTACAGGCTTTACAGTCTACGGTTATAATTAACGACTACGGGGTTATTTTATAATCACGAGTTGTGTTATTACCATGTTCGTTTTCGTAACGTTTAATTCGATATGATGACATCATCTACGCGTGGTTTTCGGGCGACAAAATTACGAATTCGTATAATAATAATAGTGATATAGATCAGCGGTTCCCTACCTTTTTTTTTTCGTTCCGTACCCCTAAGTTCAATATTTTGCTAGATTGTACCCTTCACTATAATTTTTAAACTTTTTCACATAACTATGTTTAAGATATTTAAATAAAAATAACAAAACGTTCATGTTACATTCTTTATTACTGCATATCTATTAGATGAGGAGTTAACGGTTTAGTTTTATTCGTGACACAAATTTTTATTTTTAATAACATGTAACGAATATTTTCGAAACGAATTGTTTTAAATAAACAAATTCGACATTTTCCGTCATTAGTCAATATTTTCCACGTATTCCTTGAGATCATCTCGCGTACCTCAGGTCGGAAACTGCTGATATAGATTCTCCGTGTCTTGAATATGTGTGTATTTAGTGGCGTATCAAAGGATTATGCCCTCCCCTTATTAGCCGCATTCGCTTTTTTTTTTAAAGATTTTTATTGTGTACTCGCATACATCAGGGGGTGGCAACTGGCAGCTCGCGAGCCTTTTTTTCTAATGACTTTTAATTTAGACATAGTGTGCTCCTCCCCCCCCTCCAAAAAAAAACAATTGTACTCGATTCATTGCACTTGATTGTAACGACAATCTATTGGCGGCCGCTGTGACAAATTTTACGTGATCTATCAAAAATGACTCTTAATTATTTGTTTTAATCATTGACCAGTCCATGTAGACTCGTAGTTAATGGTGGTGATTTTACATTCGATTCCGATATTAGGTTTTGAATCTTCACTAGATATCATACGAAAAAAACCTACAAAGATAACTCGCATGATAGTATTATATTATATAATAACAATGTTTAGTAGTAATTGGTGTTAGTGATTGTGTATTTAATTCATTTTTTGCTCGAACAAACGTGTTTTTTTCGTTTCGTGAAATCTCTGTGAGATTGTTAGATTATAGATTATATTATTATAGAAGTACAGGAGTACAGGACACATAGTTTCATATTACTCGTAATAAACGTCTGTTGAAGCGACAAACTCGAGCTATACAACGTTTACGGCCGACGAAGGCTAACAGTTTAAGTCCGTTTGCTCTTGTTTATATTAATAGTAAAACTTAGTTTACAAATTGCACAAATCAATTATTACTTATAAGATAAACAAACATTTCGATCAATAATAATTAAATTAGTATAATAATAATAATAAGTTAGCAAACGGCGTTTGAAATAGGCAAATGCGGTACAGAAGTGTGTAGAAACAATAAAACAATATTAAAACATTATAATAAAATTTATAGACTATCAATCGTAGTTCATAATCATAGTAATTTTAAAGTATTATTAATGCTATTATTGTTATCTATTTCGATGTTATTTTTTTCACTGAGAATTTTATTTTGTAAATAAATATTGTCTTTTATTAGGGAAAATCCATGTTTATTTATTAATGTTTGCGCATTCATATCAATCATATCCTGTTCATGTCTCACGTTGTTTTTTTACTCATATTTTTCTATGCATTACGATTATGCGATATGAATATCATACCAAAATAGTATAATCGCAATTACTTGATTTCATGTGCTGGGTCATAGTAAAATAATCCAAACAATTTATGTAAACATGCATATTTGAATGATGTATCGCATACACACTACATATGTTAATTTTAGTTTCTAGTGTTATTAATTAATTATATTGACCATTACTCATTACTCACTGCATTAAATACTTATATATAAACGACTATTGTGAAAAGATAATTACCATTTAAATATATTTACGATAATAAGTATTATTGTGATGGAAAAAAAATTTAAAACATTATAATTTGTGATGTCCTTAATAATTATTAAATTGAACAGTAGGCGTACAGGTATATCTCTTATTGCCTCTTGTGGGTTTATTACTTTTGGCTTATTGCTTTGTCCAGTTGTGGTCTATAAAGCACTTTAAATTTAATTAAGATTGCCAAACTTCAAACAAACTGTGTGCAATTTAATATCTTTATATTTTGTCAAAGAATTTTGTGGTAGAAAACATATCATATTATGATATTGTTCTCTTTTTACACTTTCGTACTTCGAAACTAACCAATTAATACTAAACCCTGGGTTTTATGTTAATAAAAGAGACATTCTTTACTTAACAATTTTCATGTAAATATCAACTAGGTATCATAATATATTGTAAAATTAGTTATTTTAAATTGTTTTTTCATCTTTGTACTTGGATTAATTTTCATGGTTAAGTTTTTATCATAAAAAAAAAAAAAATCGGTATTTAATATAAAATTTTAAATTATAAATATATATATATATATCTTTTAAAAAGTTCAATCACTTATGAATAATTATGATAGCTACAAAATAAATAAATAAATAAATATCGAATAGTTTTAATTGATATTATTTTTTACTAAATATAATTCGAATTTCAATAACAAAATCTTTATTTTAACAAATTTAATAAAAAATATATTTTAATTATATAAAAAATTTAATATTTGTTTAAAAATATTCCATTGAAGTTTTTAAAATATAAAAAAGAGAAAAGTAGGTAATTGCTTTTATGTTAAAAAATAAGGAGTCGAGCGTAACTATTGTCAGTTAGTGACTTAAATCAATGTGTTAGATTTAAATTCAATTATAAATTATTGTACACGATAAAGAATTCTGAACGAAGACGATCTATCAATCTATTTTACTAATAATATATTATATGAACTTATGTTTTTTTCGAAATTGATATTAAAGTAATTTATTTAATTATTATTATTATGACGGTAGGTTGATTAAATTTTTTCCGAAAATATTGGATTTATTAAATAATTAATATTTATTATTATAATAGTATAAGTTTTAACTTTTCGCTAATTTTTGAATTACATTAAAATGATGAAAATTGTTTATTTTCGTTCAAATATCTAATTTCGTCTTGAATCTGCTCGGAATCTAAAATAACTGAGATATATATTCTATAAATTACAAAAATCACTTTTAACTTGGTTTGTATATACATTTTATTTAAATTTAAAAACTTAAAATTATTTCTATTTATGAAAAAATTTTAAATAAATGGCTTACGGAATTACAAAATTATAATTTATAAATTTATGAACCTATATTTCTAGGTATATAAAACTTTTTTCTTTCTTTTTCGTGAATTATATTATTTCTTTGTAAATGTTAATAACTAATTAAGTAGTTTAATATTAATATTTTTTATCTACTTTACTAGATAAATACTATAACCGTTTAATTTATGTATTCTTATATTGTACTTGAGCCTTTACAGACATTTAAACAAACAAATTAACATATAATGGATATCAATAAATATTTTATCTATAACCTATATCCCTATTTTGTGTAGAAATTTCGATCGATTTAACTGTGTAAAAACAATTTATTTTCACATAACATTTTAAATTAAATTAAAATCAATTTAATTTAAGCGTTTTAAAACTTTAACCTATAGACAACACTGACGTCATATGTTTATATTCTAATAAATCATATTTTAAGAATATGTGTTAATATATTTAAATATACATTTTTTGTTTGTTAAACCGTGGGTTGATAAAGTAGGTATAGACAAATATAAAAGGGTTTTTTTCAATTATTTTTATATAACACGAGAAGATAATTTTACAAACTTATAGTTATATATATTTAAATATTATTTTTATGACTGACAAAACTGAAAAATAACGCAATTCTTTATTTTAATTTAGAATTTATCTATTTCGTATTTTTATCTTTTATATATACACACATATACTTACTAAGTCTTTAGCGATTTGCTATTAATCATTTTAATGATAAAAATTATTTAATACTAACTAGTTAAGCTGTAATAAGCATGTGTCAAAGTACATTGTTAATCATGAAAATCACGCACCTGTAGGGATTTGGTTATGCTTAATCTACTCAACTAACTAATTACATACTAAACATAATAATATGTAATAGTATTTATTCTTTTACGATTTATTATTGTTAATAATATTAATTTTATCATCCACTCACGTATAATCATGCTTTACACTAAGTACTTAAGTATATTATATATTATTTTGCAGTTTCTTCCGTAGACAATAGACTTAAATACAATCATAAATATGAATCATAATATTGTTAAATTTATATAAAATTGAATAAATATAAATTAATAAATAAATGTAGTTTAATAAATATAAATTAATATAGATTTAACATATCTTATAATTTTTCAACTAAAAATTACTAATTGCATAAAGTCGAATATTGGTAATACATTTTATTCACAGCAAATATATTGATTTATATTTAATAAATAAAG